ATTCTGGTTAAAGTACATAAACTCATATTATTTTTAATTAAAATCTTACTTTGTTCAATATTCCAATTACAATGGGTTGTAATATTATTCTTACAATTTTGTTTTTCATAGTTCATGTTTAATAATAAAAATTAAATTAAAAATAGAAAAACTATGAAAACTAATAAAAACAAAACCTAAAAATAAAATAATAATAATAAACTATTAAATTACGGTTTTATCCATATTGAGTTGTTGGGTACAAATTATAAGATAAAAGATTGAAATTTCGAGAAACTAGAGAATTTACAGGGCTACAATTTGCATTTAGCCCTTTTTTTAATGATCTGTCAGAACATAAGATATTAGTAATCGCAAGGAAAAAAGCAGTTTTTTACTTTCTTTTCATCAGGGTCAAAATTGGATATAAAACACCTGATAAAATTCTTGAAACCTCGCTATCATCTATAGAAAATTGCAAGAATGTTTTAAGTCAATATTCATAGCCTTAATGTGGTTAAAAAAATTGAACAGGTATAAGAAGTTAAAACACTTTTTTTTTTTCATTTGTGCCAAGTACTCTGAGTAAATTGATTAAAATCCAGCAAAAAGATTTTTGTGTGAACGCTTAAAATATGGTTTTCATTATTTAAAAAAATATTCTGCTATCCCCTTTGTATTAACATATGCTGTCACCTGTTGTGGATGATGCAACCTCTCTTCTGAAAGGTAGGCTTTTATAAGGAAGGTTGGTATATGGATAAATCGAGTTTGGATTTCTTGTGATTTTTGAAACTACTAGGGAGTAATAGCTAATCGGGCCCACTGACGTCGGTTGGGATGGTGCAGTAATTTTGCCAGGCCTGCAACTAGTTTAACATTTGTTTGAGGTACTGTAGTTCGTTTATCTCTCATAATCTCATAGGACACTGGTGTAATGTAGTTCAAAGAGGAAATTTTGTTGCTGCACACGAAAGCTTCCGCGGCTCGAATCCATAAATTCTGGGCTATCCTGGAGACTCCGCGTTGTTGGCTGACAGGCTGACGTTTCGCCTGACATGTCGCAGGCTTCCTCAGGGCAGTGACACTGCAGCTTTTTTTTCGGTTTCCCCCCTCCAGTTGCCCTGCAGAGTCGGGAGTTTATTTTCGTATCGGGTACATAATTTAGTAGCAGCCGTTTAGGCTTTTGCAGCTGGAAATAGGGCCTATATTGTACATAGCACTGCGGCGCTATGCCGTGATTGGCGGAGAGGTATCCCTGATTGGCTGGCGGACTGGGCCCAGCACCAGACATCCCCGTAGTCGGACGGTATTGCACAGCCCCGACGGCCCCGAATGGATGGTAAGAGATTTCCAGGCATGGTTAAGGGTGGGGCCTGCGTCCGCGTTGATGTTTTGCGGCCTTCTGTTTATTTCTAATGCCTGTTTTATTCGCCTCGGGCCAGTAACGGTTTTCCTTGTGCAGGAGCCGGGTCTTATCAAAGTCAATGGCATGTCTCGTAATCTCCGAGGGGTAGCTGCTGCCGCAGCTGCAGGGAACTTCATAATCTCCTGCCGACTGCAGAGGGGGTAACGCATCTCTAATGCGTACCAAGGCGATGTGCAGCTTGTCGGGTGCTGTGTACGGATGTTGTTCTTCCGTAGTAATTTTTCCAAAAGATCGGTGACACAGCGGACGTAGGGAATCACGGCTAATTTGGGCCGAGCACACTCCTCCTCCGAAGAAGCGTGGCAATATTCAGCGTTGAAATCTTTCAAATAGTTACATTCTATCATATGGCAATGTTATAATAATTCTTCTATGTTTAGCTCAATTTCTGAAAAATGTTGATGGCCAAAACAAAAAACTGTTACATGTAAATAAAAACTTTAAATTCCTCAATTACATGAATGAATTAAAAGTCACTATGCTCTAGAATATAACTTGGCTAAGGTTCTTAATGTCTTTCTTGTATCATAATTTAATTTTAATTAAGATAAAATTATATGTAGAGCAGGAAAAAATTAATCTAGAAATTTTGGGGGTCTTTGACACAGAAAATTGAATTTTTCAAAAACATTAGCTTTTCAGTTAACACCACTGGTGCCTAAAGAAATAAACAACATTTTAAAAAAATGAATACCCTCTTATTGATCTGGCTTAACTTGAGACAAAAAATTGTAACAAATCCTTTAATTTTAATGTTGTATACAAGTTTCCCTCTCTTGATATTATCAGCTTGATCGACTGTTGGAAGCCATGGGAAACTGAACTCATAGATCTTTCTCTTATCCAAGTTGACACTTGTAATCTAATTTGTTGATTTGAAGTACTTTCAGCAATTGCTTCTTTCCTCTTAAGGAACACGCATGAGTCTCTTCCATTAATCACAGTGAATTTTATTTAGTATTCTTAGCATTATGAAATTGTGCAATGATAATTAGTTACGTATGACTAAATTCAATATTTTTCAATTTTATGAGGAGATAATGCTTTTTGAAATTTTCCTTTGTGAATTCGTAAGGTAAGCATCCATGGTTCACCTTCAATTTTCTTCTTAGGGGAGAGGGATAGATTGCTGTTTTGATTGGCCGAGATAGCATATTGCAAGAACACTTCTGAAGCTTCATCGACATTGAGGTCCTGAGGCTGTCAGTATGTTAGCTGGTCACCTCTACATTTTCTGATCAATTCCATATGGATATCGGAGCAATACCATGCAATTGACCAATGATTGCATGTGACCCTTTCTTCACCAGCCAGTCTCTACTCCTATTCTTAGGAGCGATCAATGAGCAGATTCAATTTTCTATTTATAGAGGATCAATAACTAGATAACAGATGTGACAACAGTAGATTACATGATAAGTATTATGAGAATAAAACACAAGATACCGGAATTTTTGTTAATTGAAAATTATATTGAAAAAAACATAATTTTTGGAGAAAAAATAAATACTTTCTTACGTCCTTTCAGTATGAATCCCTTGTGAGTAATAAATGTGTATGATTAATATAATGTAGCTATTTCACCATTCCTTTATCATATTTTGAAGTTTTTTATATAAGACAATTCATTTGATAAAAAATAATTGTCTTAAGCACCTTCCGTTTATGTGTGGTTACAGTTTCATCTCTTCAGACACCAACAAAAGTCAGCCATCATATCCCAGCGACCTTGATACCTCTCTTACATCGTCCTGATGTTTGGCAGAACCTTTCTCCTTGTTCCTTACTTTAATCCCCACAATTGTCTGAAAAATAATTTATAAGTGAACTGAAATTTTATAGACATGCGTGTTTCAGAGACTTCGAATAATAGCTTTATATATGGGACTTCGTTCCTATCCATGAAATTGTTTTTCAGCGAATGTGAAATCAAACCAAGCTTTCCTTTCTACTTCATACATACTCTTTTCAAACTTGGGATCATTCATTAATCTTCTAATTTGGAGGGCCATCAAAAATACCTGCATAATTTTTGCCAAATTTGCACTGATGTGAGGACATGTCTTCATTATATAAAGAAAAGCTGCAGTCTGTTTATTCATTGCTTTCACAGGATTTTTTTTAGATTTATGTGGAGGGGTGGGAGCTACATTTTTTGTGGGTCAATCAATGAGTTTGCAATAATATTGTTTCTAGTGGGTGTGATACTTTCTTGAGATGGCCATTCATGCTGTGTAAAATGTTTGGAGTCTGCCTGACTATCCCACAAACAAATAAAGCAGGAATGTTTAGTGTAACCTCCTTGCATTCCCAACAATGGTGAGATAAAATGTAAAAATAAAGAAAAAATTAAGCACATTACTGTTTTGGGAAGTTTAAGTTTATTATTCTTTAATGTGTACTATAAAACTCTAGTAATTGAAACAATCTGTCTGAAAAAAACAACAAACAAAAAATATTTTGTATTAGCGTTTAAACCCAATAAAGACTATAAATGTCAAAAACTTATTGGCTTGTAGAGAAAAAACTGGACATGATGCAGATATACCGATTGGATGTTTGAAATCAGCGTGAAAAACAGATGCAAAAACAAATAAAACATTACAGACATAAAAAAATGACACAGGCAAGCGTTAATTTTACAGTTACAACTGCAAGAAAAAGTTGAGAATGTTGTCTCTCACATTGGTACTAAACTACTGATGTGTGGTGAGCTGCAGTATATGTTGCTTTGCTGAAGAATAATCTCTTGCAGAAACAGAAGAAAACAAAATAAAGGTGCCCAATATTTTTGACAGATTTGGGAGAAGCCCTTGTAAACCATCACATAAGATGACACAAGGGAAAAATATAGAAGTTGGGTGAGTTGAACAAAGAAAAAGGAGCCTGTAGAAACATACCAGTTTCACATCAGAAAGATCTAGCGGACTGTCACCAAAGAAGAGAGATCACATCTTTTCTAAAAAAAAAGTAGAATGCAACATAATTTGTATTTCTTAGGGAAGACAAACATGCAAGAAAAACATTCAGTTACAAGAAATATGCAAAATTAGAAGGGAAAAAAATTTTTAAAAAAATTTAAAAAATGCTTATTTAGTGTAAGAGGCATGCTTTGTTCTTATGGTTGGGTGGATAGGGTTCAATATGTCGATGCCTCTTAGTAGCACATTCTGGGTACTAAATACTATAAAGATATCCACAACAATCCAACATTTTAGGAATTAATAATGGAAAATGTATGTGAGCCATTCTGAGTAGGTTCTTGTAGGCAAAACAACTTAGGTTAAAGCAATCCATTCTTTCACCTAATTTAAGGATCTGAAATAATGTGATTTTTTTTTTTTTACATTAGCAGTTTTTGTAAATTTAGAATAGTTTTGAATTTGAAAAAATATTAGGAATTCGTCTCATACAGATTTTTGAGCTTACTTGACTTGGGTATTATCAAAAATGTGTGCAGATGATGCCAATGTGTTTGTGTATCGCAACATTATGTCTTCTTGTGAAGCTAAACATAAACTTATCTAGATTCGCTTCTTGTCATGTCTATTTTATCAATGTCAGGATATCAAACCACATCTTTTATTATTAGGAAATTCAATATTAAACATGGAAAAAAAGTCGCAAGCACAAAAGTCTGAAAAGATAAGTAATGAAAAAGTAATCAGAATAATAAAGTGAATAAGTGGATTTTAAATTTATTTAAAAGAAGCAATATTCCATTCAATGGCCATGGATTACTGGTGGCTTTATTGCAGAACCCTTGTAGTTCAAGGACCACAAGTTGAGAATGACTGGTGTAATGAAAAAGTACTGAAATGAAGACAGAAGTTCACTCATTTTACTATTTTGTTAAAATGTATACACAATGTACTGAATATAAAATCTTTTATTAGTTCATTTATTTGTAATACAGGATTAATGTCACATTTGAGACAGTGGTCTATTTAAATGAAACCCTGAACTGGACATCAATCATCAGTCTTCATTGTCTGCAAGGGAAAAATGATTAACAATGTCAGTAGAGCAGGCCTTATTAAGAAAGAATTGACTACAACAAAAATAAACAATGCTAAGTAAGTAATTTTTCTTTCATACACACATACATGCACCTCCCCCCTCCCCCCAGACTCGCACAAAATAGTCTACAAGATATGTATAAAAACTTCATTCAAGGAATTGGCTTTAACTTTTTTGTATACATATATACAGAGTATTACATGTAGCATAGAAAAAGTTATGGAACGCTGTGGAAAATTGATTTACTTTTTGGTGCCTGATACTGAAAAAGTGTTATTTTTCAAAACGTCTCACAATCTGTGATCAAACATCACAGATTCCTAATATACTTCCTTTTCCGCAATCAATATAAATTTGACGAAACTCAAAGCCCTGAGATTTTGAGGGTTCTTTAAAATGAAGTCAATTTTACTCTACAGTGGAACAAACTCGTGAAGGAGGCATAGGTCTAAATTTCATTGTAAATTCTGAACTCGTGAAAATTACAAATTTCTAGTTTTTTGGATCCCCTCATACCACTACATAATTGAAGATAGAAATTTTGTCTTCAAATAATTTGTTTTCTCCAGAATTAGTTCTATAACGTCCAATAAATTTTTTGAAAATATTTATAAATTTTGGAATTTTTAGTGAAATATGGGCAATATTAAAAACCTTTTCTCAAAAATGGATTCAATTTTTTAAACGTTTGTGTGGATGCTAAATATATGGAATACACAACAGAAGCACCATGGGTTTTTTTCTTTTCGAAAATTATATAAATGAATTATTTTTTTATACAGCTTTCATGTCATTAATATTTACATTAAAGGCACTTTCTTTTCATTATTGCATTAGTGTGTGCAGGTGCTTCAAATAATTTATTATGAACTACAGTCAAAACTGTCTAAGCCAGAAACCTGTCTTAGAAAATTTCGCTGGCCCGTGAAGTTTATATTGTATTTTACACAGCATAAAACCAAACCTGTCCAATGCAGAAACGGAACGGCTTTTCAAGTGCTATAGGGGGGAAAAAAAAAATCTTAAAATCTAATTCCTGTGAATTTTTTGCAATTGGCAGAGACACAAAATATTCCTAATATCATTAATAAAATATTTTTAATATAATGCACCTGCAAGTATGTTTAAAAATTCTCAGTCCAACACAATTTAGTCATGACAACTGCACTGTGAAAAAGAGGAGCTTCAGCTATCAGCATAAAATTCGACCTTGGGGTTACAAGTCTCTCTAGGCATAGGCCATAGGGGAATCCCCCCCCCTCCCAACGCTCTTGAGTGTGGGAAGGTCTTCGAGGATGGATCTGATTGTGCCTCTCCCTGCCCCGCATTGAAAATTGTAACCTCTTGGCCAGAGACTCTTTGCTAAAGGTCATGCGAAGGTATCAGAAAATCATAGTACTCTGGGCTGACGCATTGTGCATGGAAAGAGTCAGTAAGCGATTCCAGCCATTAGGCAGTGAGGTGGTGTGTATTTTTAGGATTTCCATAACCATATTAACAATGCAAAAACCATAAAACTAACATTAGATGAAAAGGTCAAACTTATAGAAGCAAGAGAAACTCGGAAGCTATCAATGAAGAATGTTTAATATTCATTTATGGGTGATTTCTTCCCTAAATACGTTAAATGTAAATCTATTTTAATAATATAATAAAACCATGTTATATTTACTTTACTTTAATTACTTCTCTATTTACTTGCATTACAGAATGGAAATACCAATATCACAAGTGTCATATAATAGACAACTCTTCATAAAATGGAAACCTCCCTAAACCATAATTTTTTTGTCCCTATCAACTCCAGCTTAGACAGATTTTACTGTACTTCGAGAACACAAAGCTTTTCTGTGAAAAAGGGCTCAAAATTGACAAATTTTCAATGAAAATTTGTGTGTATGACTTATATAATATTAATGTCACATTTTAACTCCATTACCGTACTGAAAGATTGAGAAAATGTGAAAAAATTACTTTTAGGTACTAATAGATGGTAGCTGAGGTTGGGGGCAAAACTGAAAAGCCTAAATGCAAGATAGTAGCAAACTATTATGAGAAAATTGTGCCATTCTATAGCACCACTACTTTAAGGCTGGTTAATGAAATTAATTAAAGAAATGAGGAAAAGTAATTTAACAACAGGAATAAAAGAGGCTGCCAAAGCTACAGTGACCTTATTTATGAAAGTAATCTTTAAATTTAAATGATTTTGTGAGTGGTAAAATTAATTTTTCAGTACTTCAAAGCTACATTAAATTGGCTCAATGTATTTGAAATTAAAAACCAGGCTATTCTTCCTTTTAAAAGTGTAAGGTGATAAACCCATTGATTTATTTCTGTATTATGAACAGACAGTCCTGACTATTCACAACTGGCTGAACTGATAAAGATATATACCCAGACTGATACAACTTTAAGAAAACATTGTTTGTTGTGATCAGAATTTATTTTGTTATCGTTTATTTGAAACACATTTTAATTGTACACATTTTTGAGCCCTCCTGAATCGCAAATGACCAAGCAGATATTATTTGATTCTTATGAGAAAAAATCCTGAGCACCTGATCAGAGAATATGACAGATGACAAATTTGGGGAATGGATGGTTATTGATGAGAAAATCCCTAATCCCCTAGACAGTTACCCAAAAGTATGTAAAATCATTACTTATACACTCTTGATAATGTGTAGAATTTACTAGATTATTTAGGAATATACATTCAGTGTGGATTCCATTTTAAGTCATTTGATATAAAATATCCAGGTCATTCTCACAATTGACTCCTTACGTTAACAAAATAACTTTTTGGCTACGTATTTTTTGAAAATATTTTATTTCCATTTATATTTAGTTGGACTAAGCAGGGATAACTTCAACATAAAAAATTGGCTTAGTTTTGGAATCCACCTCTTCAAGTGTGTGAGAATGTGAAGGGTAGGTGCAATTGAAGCTACTTCGGATAAAAAGCAGATTGACGAAAGATTAATGTAAAGATGAACAGGAAAATGAAGGATAAGAATCGTAAGAGGGTGGATAAACAGAAAAGTGTGAATTTTATGTGAAGCTTATATAATCAGAAAGAACATAACAGTAAAGGAGTGAAGTAGAGGTGAAGTGTGGTCTTTTTGTGAGGTCATCGCTAAAATTGCTTAGTGTTCAAGTCTACCTTTCTGAAGCGACAGGGATGGGGAGTCAATGTCATATGGTGTGCAGGTTTTAAACGCTCATATTTCTGATACTTTTTCATTTTTTAACATCAATCTCCAGGAATCCCTTAAGGCAACATTGAAATTGAAATTACCTTAGAAATGAATCTAACATATACTTTAGAAATTAAACTAATTTTCTTGGGGATTTGTCTTCAAATGATACCAACTTAGATGGCTTTAGGACATCAATTAATGTCACTCCAGTGCCTCTCAGTGAGAGTTCCTAGGGTTCAAATCTTGACAGTGACAGGATTTTTGACACTAGCTAGAAACTCCTGAAACCACCTGCATAATTACTTCATCACTAAATTACTGCAGAATGATCTCACTCACGTTTCTCAGTTTTTGTCATTTTAACAATATTAAGTGAAGGTTGATGGAATTTTCAATTTCAAGTTTTTCTGCGTAACTAAGACATTTTGAAAACATCTCTTTGGCCAAATTGTCAATAAAACAGACTATTTATAGTAATAACCAGGGCTCGGATTCTGATGACATGTCATCTTTTCATTGGTGCATAGTAGACATAGCTAACTTGTTGAATGTTTATCATGATATATAGGTGATAGAAATGTACAGTTATTGGGTCACTTTTTTGTTGCCATTTTTTAATTTTTGCCTTTCTGAGTTTTTTTTTTTTTTTGCTAGAGAATGTTTCATAAATTTACAATGACTTACTAAAACAATGTTTTTATTGTATTATCAGCTCATGATGAAATTCACTACTGCAATGGACTCTGTTTCTTGGACTCGGAAATTTACAGGGATTTTCGATAACTTTCACCTTTCACCTTTCGACCTTTCAAAGCCAACAGTTGGAAGATCGAAGCTAAGGATTACACTTCCTCCTAAAATAAAGACTTTGTATTAAACATAATTTTATTGAAATAAATTTTATTTAAAAATGTAAAATTCATTGAATAAGAAAATCTTTTCATATAAATTTCTTTCTTATTTTGGAGTACTTTTTATAGATTATTTTCAAAGAACTTTTAGGTCATCAGAATCCAAGCTCTGGAAATAACTGAATTGGAATATAACTACTACACTTAACTTCACACAACACTCGGAATTACTGAAAAGCGGCTCAATTAGTTTAAATTAATTAAATTTTAAATCAACTAGGCGAACATTAAAAATGATTTAAAAAAAAATAAATAAATAATTCACAAAAGAATAGAACAGCACAAGTTTTTTCTACACTGCATCTGTGCAGGATGCCACCTATCTGCATGCATTTGAAACTGAACTTCATCTTGGTAGGGGGTGCCACTCTCTTTCCATTATGGAAGAGCTATTTGTGATTCTAGTAGTGGAACACACAACTAGCTGTGCACTGCAGGATAAGATTTTCCAAGTCCCATTTTCCAAGCCCCATGGTTCTCCTGCAAAAAGGTATGCCATGCAAGCCACAAATAGCAAGTTCTGACTTCATCATTTTACTTTCTTGCACTTTCTAACATAAGAAGAGAAAGTATTGTAATTGTGATCCCGGAAAACAGTGAATTTTAGACACAGAACTCATATTGCCCTAGTAATGAAACAGTGGATAAATCCAGTTGCTAAATATAGAAAAAAAATTCTCTAACACGTGGTGTAGCCACAACCCAAGTTATACGACTCCTTCATACCAAAAACCGTCCATCCGTCCGGGTGCAATGCTAGGGCATAAACTGTTAAGCCGATTTTCTCCAAAATTGAATTCCTCAATCATTTGAGCTCATGTCGCAGACCCTGAAATTCGAAACCAATATTTAAATTTTGGGGGGTACTGTACATGAAGCCCCTAGGACATTTTCAAAATTTCCAACCAAAAACAAAACACGCTTAAACTTTGTTATTGAATAGTGCAAAGGATGTTTAAGAGAAGGGTGGAGGTGTCATTTTCATTGACATCCCCAATTATTTACATAAATTGAAGAAAGAAAAGAAGAAGAAGAAAAAGAAAATTAAAACTTTAAAATTGTAGATGAAAGATTTTTGTCTCAAAGTCTGTAGTACACAATTAGCTCTTTAAAAAATGTCATGTATAATTTTTTTTTTGAAAATTGACAGCAAAAATGAAACATTTTAGCGGGCTTTACTGCTCTCTGAAGCATCTATATCTGTTTAATTTCTTAATGAATTATGTGGAGACTAATTATGCTTTTCATTTGGTTGTAAGGCATCACTTAAAAGAAAATAAAACATTTAAGAATGAACTTAAAATACCTTGGCGACATTGCGAAAAATTCATTGTATGTACTCGAACTTTCATGACACCACAACCTTGCAAACCTAAAAACAGTTCCGTTTATGGCTTTTCCGTTTGTGCTTTTAGGAAGAATTGATAAGAAAATATGTGCCCACTGTTGGCAGCGCAAAAAAAAGGAGAGAAAGAGAGAAAGAAAGAGAGAGAAAGAGAGAGAAAGAGAGAGAGAAAGAGAGAGAAAGAGAGAGAG